CATGAACAACTCCCCCCCCCCCCGGTCGCATTAGTCATCACCACTTCAGGATACGGTAGATGCTATGTTGAAAGCCAGTTGTCGAGCAGAGTGCAGTTCACAATTTGGTGTCATTTCTAATATCATTGCCTCGAGGTACATGTAATAAATTTCTGCATCCTACTTACTTGACGTGGTGACTCGGGGGGAAAAACCTTGTCGCGCCTCTCTTTCTCTATTACTGAAGAGAATAATGTGTTGTATGGAACATACTTAATCATTGTAAAATCTGAATAATACAAGATGAGTATGTATAGTTTTTGTACTCAGTTCAGTCTATGCTAAGAATTAATTATTTACTGAGCGATGTTTGAAAGCAATCAGAGTCAAAGTGTAGGTATGCATGAATGACACAGACAGTAATTATTATACAACTAAGTGATTAACACCAAGACACATAATAATAAACACATATTTATTATTTACAGAATGTGGCATAATAAGTATTAAGATACACACATGTACAGTATAAACAAAATAATATAACAGTCCAAGATATTTTCTCTCAAATTCTGTTTCTTGATTTTCCTATTCCAATTTCTGAGTATAGTTTTACTTATTTTGGATTAGTTGTCTGGTTTGACAGGAAAAGTTTTAAAAATGACAAATCGAACATTCAGTATTGTTGAATAGAACATACCCAAATTAGGACGTTAACTTTGCGGTTACGGGATATGTACAATAACAATATAGTTAATCCAGCCATTCTGCATACATGGACCATTTAAGTAACAAACAATTGTGTGAGACAATTGAACATTATTACTGAATTAAAAACAGATTCGGCAAACGGAATGCGTGATACCGCAACCGAATGTGTCATGTCCGGGTGTACATCTCCATTATATATTAGATTCATATTTAGTACGTCAATAACGATTACACGCGTAAGCGTCCTCTAATAAATGATAAAAAACAAACGTGACTGCCCCCGTTCCCATACAAAGAAGTTCACTAAATCTGTTCTAAACGTTTTGGATTTCGGCATTTACATCATGTATTCCTGGGAGGAAAAGATGTATAATAATAAGGTTATTACGAGGATTGTGTAAAGTATGCACTCAGACAGTACGCATAAGCGGTTTACTGTCCTCGTGCATACTTGCATGCCGTATCCTCGTAATAACCTCATATTCATATTACTGCTATGTGTTTATTTCTCGAGATGACACATGGAATCACGCGTCTATACCACCAATCTGGGTGTTTGTTTGATTCATGTAAAAATCTGATGCGACATTAATAGTATGTTCACATTTAAAGAACCTGAACTCCACACATTGTGAAATGTATGAAGCCATGATGAAATGTACATGAAAGAAAAAATTCCATTTGAAAGTAGATTTACGTTAAGACGAGTGTGTGCCCATATACTGAATGAGGGTGCCTGCAATTCATCTTCGTCATAAAAACAATGATGTCACTTTTACAGATATTCCTTAATAGAACTGATGTCTTCAGTGACACTATCCATGTCAAAGGTGGGTAAGGCACTGGAAATATAAAAATATAGTAGTTAGTAATATGAGGTTGGAGATATAATATCTGACCATTTAGCAGACGACGTATTGTACTACACTATACATAATGTAAATATCATTACAATAATTGTGTGTCGCCTAAAAATATCACATAATGATATGCAATAACACAATAAATTATAAAAGGCGGAAAAATCTAAATCATATAGTAATATTGTGTTGACACGCAGAGAGGCTTCGTATTCGTTTTATTGCATACACCAGTAACGAGATAATCAGGTAACACTGCATAACTCGTATAATGCACGAATCAGGCGCCATGCGCCGTAAATATCTGCATTTTGTCTTTTGCATGAGCGAATATAAGTAGAGATAGTACTTCAGTATCACGCCATCGGTGGTCATTTTATGCGGAAAAGACCGCAAAGCTTCAGTGCTGATTAATTTATGCCATCATAGTTTGGCAGTCCGACTACATGCATAATGGTATATGCTAATTAGCCCAACCGATAATATTTAAGACAACTATACTTTATAAAACGATATCAGTCTTATATAAATGTAGACGAGTCACACGTTAACTGGATACGCGAGTGTTAATCCAGTTTAAAATTAATAAGTTGCGGTGGAGTGAGTCTCTTCTAGATGGCGCGTTTTTGTGTCACGGTGAGATCTTAGTCATTCGTATTCATTGAATCGACCACAAGTAGAATTCATCTACTGCATGGCCCATCCTCTCAACAACACTTAACAAGCAAAGAGTTCCTTAGACCCATCCCATTGCCATTTACCTAAACAAAGCATGACATCACCTACAACCCATCCTATTTAACCTCACATATTATAGTGTTAAATGATTTATATGACAGTGTGGATTAACTTCCGTCGCATAACACTTTCGTTTTTGTACAATAATTAGTGTCAAATAGTGGTTAACAGTTATCGCAATGTAACATGTTGGCATCAAAGTCGTGACCTCAGCCAATCTCGAAAATTTGTGGTATTGAAATAAATAAAGCTTTGAGCGTGAAACCTAAGTGTTTTATCAGGCACGCTAATCGGATTACAATTCTGAATGGGTATGTTTGGTTACGAATCAACAGGGAGCTGTTAAACCTCCTAAAGTTTGTTATTCTGCTCAGGTATTATTTCATAGTATTTTCAATGCGGGTAACAGCTGTCGACGTACTTGTATATAGCTGATGATACCATATCCAGTGTTCCCCCTGTCAATAAATGAAAAGGAAATCTTGATCTTGTCTGTTATTTTAAGGCAGGTTTATAGGATATTACAGTCACGAATACAGTCAGTGTAAACATTGAGATAACACGTTTGAAATTATATGGTCATATCGGGGCTAAATAAATATTTAAAATAACATTCATGTACATTTTTAAAACAAATGTGTGAACTGAAAAATATTATTTGCTGGCGTGTTTTCTCAGCGTATGTATTTAGTATTTACTTTGCAGTGCCACAAAGTTCGCCAGCTTGAAAAGAAAAATGTCTACTACAATATTTAAAATCTAAAAATTATATATATTTGAACTGGAATAATTAATATTATAATATCATGCACATCCGCTCCCCCACAGTTTCCACAACAACATGCACACCGCCTTCCTCGCGACACCCGTTTGAAATACGACATGGTACATGTCATGTGCTGCCCCTATAGTAAATAAAGTAATGCTTCTCATCAAAACGTGGCCCTTGGGGGGTGGAAAACAAACAGCTTTATATCGTACAACGGGAACGTTTCTCTGTCCACGTGGTATACAATTTCACCACCGTCACCCGTTCAAACTGCAGTGCATCTAGGCAAGTTTCTTGGCATACCCTTTCACCCACGCCGGTGCTAAAAAATATATTTTAGCTGAAATGTAATTATGCATATGAAGAAAAATAAAGTTTCATATGAAAAGATTTCCAGAGAATTGAAAAACGCTTAACACTTGCCTGGTTTACACACCGTTTCACACACTGCTGAGCAAAGGTAGCAAAACTTGCAATACTGTTGGTGTCAACAAATAAAAATTGTATTTTAAGTCTGTATAGTAAGTCCATATTTCAACGATCATGTCAGTTCAATTTGAAGACATGCATACACGATAAATAGTGTTTGTTACCTTACACATGTGACACGCGGGCTTCGATGAGCTGCTCTCACATGGACACTGTTCACATTTAACGCAATACTGTGGGGTGCAGAGAAAAATGAAAATACGAAGTTACAATCAAGGTTCATAAGATTATCATAGATTTTGACCGATTTAATACGGTGAGAATTGACAGAGCAGTTTTCTTTGTTGCTTTTTTATTATTCTGTCATGATGTGGCAACATCTCGTATTTAAATTCATCAAAGTAAATCATGATCCAACAGTGTAGCAAATGGATTAACATTAATCCTGACAACATGGAAACAGCTTATCTGTATATCTAAAAAGATACGCAAATACACAAGTAGTCGAGTGACACCATCTCTCCGATTTAATTTGATTTTAAATTTATGCAGACAATAGAACTTATTATCAATATTGAATAGTGTCATAAATATATAAATATAGGTACAGACTAGGACACAGCTTAGTATGTTAGAAGCATTTATATTTTATCTTGTTTTATTACAGGTTGTGTACGAGTCACTTGAAATTTACATGTAATACTATCATGAACAGTATATCTTTGGTTCCCTACTGTTGTCGGGTGATATGTCTGCTAGAGATGGCGCTGCTTGGTTACGTCGCATGCCATCAGCTTAAATCGTAATGTGGATAAAAAACTACAATATGCTACACGCAATTGGCGTCATAGTAACAACGATACCTACTCCTCCCACTCAGTCCCTATGCAGCGGGTTCACCGGACCGACAAATATTTATTTACCAGCTAATAATTCTGTTTAAAATAATTAAATTAATTAGATCGAGATATGTAAAACTATTTCCCACGGACAATTAACTAATTTTGATTGATGAAATAATGTAAGCGTTTGTTTTCATTTAATATATATATATGGAGATATCCTTCAGAGAAATCGAGTCTTGGATGTCTAGAGCGAACAAGGAAAGAAACATAATGAGAGTGAACTGGTACTGGCAGAGAATACCAGTAAATAAATACACTCGGACTTTTAGGGTTCGATGAGCAATTGAGTTAAACAGAGTCAAATGACAACGACAAGAGTAGTAAACACATATTTTTATTTGTCTGTATGTTTATTTTGATGCGACACTCAGTGCGTTATTGTAGAGTCAGCAGCAGCTGTAGATGTAATTTATTTTACAATATAGAGTAATTGGTAAACCACTTATACGATTGCAATGTGTTAGCAACCATTGCACATCCAACTGAATATAATCCTAACATCACAGAAATGCCGCTCTTTTAATAGCATCAAATTGGTCCATATACGTGGCACCTGCCTCACTCTCCTCATCTCATCAGTACTCGCCAGCTCCCTGCCGGGTCTCAACTGAGTACACCCCCCATGTACCTAATTCCCTACAGTCTGCCTCGCTCTGAGTTCCCTCACCCAAACCCGGCTGCTTTCTATTATGCGGCTCGATTCCCTCACCCCAGCTAGCATTTTCCCTTGTACCCTGAAAGTAAACAGTTTTGGCATGGATCATATGCATTGATGCGTATATCGCATGGAACGATCAAAATGACATGTTGCATATTTTTTGTTAGCATTATAAATTAAAGTTTCTGAATTTGAAATCTTATTTGATAATGGTTTGACCCAAAAATGTATATTCTTTGATTTGTTCACTTAAACAAACATAAAGTGAGTACAATATATTAAGATAAACACTTCGGTAGATTTAGAAAATATTGCGTCTTACAATATTTTTATTTTAGTTTTTTTCAGTAATGATCAGGTTTCAAAGTATCGATTTCAGATTTTTTGAATAAATTACTGATTTTTAGTCATTGAAAGCGCGATTTTGTTCATTATAGAAACGATAACCAATATCTGAGACATAATATATTAGCGATTATGTGTGAGAAGCATTTGAATTTTCTTAATTAGTGAAGGTCAAAAAATAATTTACATAACCAATATGTCTTCAGTATGTCATTCATACATATTGTGACGATAACATTCAATAGAATAAGGGGATCAATGTTCTGTATAAGTTAAAGGGCGATGGTCGTCGTGCTACACATGCACGGGATATGGGTCTCTTTAACTGTTGAGCAGACCAACGAGTACAAACTCACTCGTTTCAGTTCTAAGCTTTGATTATGCAATTTCCTTGGTGATTGTAAAAAGGTCAAAACTCGTACTAGCGATTCCCATTAAAAGACCGCATGGTGGGGAAAGATTTATCAACGCAAATGTCGCACATGCGCGGCGCGACGACGACCGTCCTTTCGTGTGGTTTAGAATATGAGCAATTCCACAAAGTAAATGATGTCATGAGTTATTCACAACTCTATGCAAATACATACAGGTCATCAAAACAACACAATTTTCCCATACTAACATGGGTCTCAACCCTATTTCTTACAATATCCGGATATTCACTTTGATTATTAAAATACATAAACATTGCATGTAATTCAGAGAAATAATTGATATTGTATAACACTTGCATAAATCATCTATTGTATTCTGAAACAGTGGCTTTGACCTCGAACTTATAAATTACACGATAAATGTGAGGTCATAACGATGCAGCCAGGAGGAGCTTAATAGTAATTGGGAAGCGGGTACGGAGTATAAACACTTACGTAACAATAGTCGCAATATCCACAGAGAGAACCTTTAGCGTGAGGTCGATCTGCCACCATAGCAACCCTTTGACTTTCACTTGAATCTAATAACATGATGCATGTTATAATGCGCAAAATCAGATCATTTGACATAATGGCCGCGGCTCAGCTGATAGCACCGTACCCCCTAAGCTAGCAGTTAATAGTGGTGACTATTGAATTGATCATAAAGAAGCTAATGTCACAAGCAAAGCAAAATATCACAGAGTGAATTCGTCGGGCAATTTTGAAATTCATACAACATCAACCAACTAGTGTTACAGACATGGAAATACTATCTGAAAAAGTATGCGGTTGTGAGTAGAACTCTTTAGGCCTTGTAAGTTTTGCAATATTCTAACCATAACCGTGTGGTATAGAATTATAAATCAACGAGAACCAGTACCAATTACCGACTTACATGGAGAAAAGCACCACAAATGTCAATTTTGAAATTTCCTCCTTGAAAAAAAACCCCACTTATTTGCATATGAATCGTTAGCTACACGTGTGTTATTTCTAATTGGCTGGCATCTCAATGCACAGCTCCTATTGGCTCATACAGTGAATTCACACACTTGCAAAATGATGCATAAACTTTCCGCCTGTCTGGCTGGACACATGGAACTCTATTCAGAAATAGATTATAGTATAAGATTATAACACAGTTGGATATATTATGTCACTATTTTTGGAGCGATACTGAGGATTCCAAACAAGAAAAGACGGGGGAGCAAAGTTACTGAAATAGTAACGTCTCGCGTAGCACAGAAAACCCCACGCAAAAAAAACAAAACAACGAGCACACTGAAGATCATGGAGTGTATAGCAATACGATATGAATATCCGTGCACAGTTTGTGTCACGTGTGTCAGTGTAGCAAAATAATTCAGAATGTTTCACTTTATTACTAGTCGATTCGAACAAACACATCCGGCAGGGTGAGTGTCTAATAATAAAACAGACATTCTTTAGTCCCGCAAATGTGTTAAGTTAAACAACTGTTGATGAGTGGGTAACTCATTGTATAACGCTGTGTTAATCTGGCGGATTAAATTACACTTGATTTTAACCCCGACAAACCGTCCACGTTCCGTACATTGGGTTACTATCATATATTCTGAGAAGACATGTAAAATGCCCATTCACGATTCGCATATGTGCTTGTGCCATTATAATTTTCAAAGGTTAACATATTTATATTATAGTGTTCAGGTTATTACAGCGATTACTCCGCATGGGTCTGACAAACAAACGAGAAGGAACAAGAAAAGGTACTGACAATGAAGCAATCTGGGGAGACTAGGACAACAATTTTGCACTAAACCCTGTAAACTCAAGTAAAAGACGATGTTGTCAACCTCAACTACAATTTGAGCTGAAATTAATGCCATAACTGTATTGTAAATAATGTTCATTCTTTGTCAGGCCCGTTGTTTGGGAGGGGGGGTCGGGGATTTCGGTCGAATCCCCTAAATTTTGGAAGTGATTAGATTTATTATCGTAGATTAGAACATAATAAAACAAACAGTATTCATTAAAATAATTATCATCGTTTAAATCGCTTGACTCAGTGAGGTAACTATCAGATTCAGCAGCTGATGTTAAATATTAAAACAATAATGTAATGGTAGTCACTCTCTGAATGATGTGGTGTTCTTGAATAGGGCCGTTTGTCTTGTGCGAGTATTCGCTCAGTTAGTAAAGTGTTACGATGGGAATCGAACGGGATTGACAAAACACGACACTGTACTTTCCTAGTTTGGTTCATTAGTTTTGTATTCATAAATGATGGCATATATACTGTTTTGTTCCAAGTGTATCAGCCAAATGTAGTCAACTTATTGTAGTAGTACGTGTAGCCTGTGTTATTGGACAATAGTGTATTGCTACGGATTCAACAGATCATTAATAAAATGTCGAAGATTTATCATCACGAGTTGTATAGGTCGAAGAGCTCCTTGCAGCCAACAATTTACCCCCACAGTGTTGCTTCAGCACTGAAACTATGCGACAAATCATATTTTTCAAACATATTTTTTTACACGTTTTTTTGTTTTGATGTCTTAGAAAAGTTACTATATTTTTAGTGGGTTCATAAAAAGGAGATGTAGTCATCGAAGTCTATTGAGACCGCTGCAAAACATACACTATATGTATATTGTTTTACCGTCCTCTAAGAACAGATTTACAATGAATAAAACATTTACATACTTAAGAAACTTGGTAGTATGCCATTAGTTAGTGCATTTAATTTGTTTGATGCAATCATTGTGCCAGCTATTTCTTATGGTAGCGATATGGGGGTACAACAATTCGGAAATCGAGAGGGTACAGACAACATTTTGCAGGTATCTACTTAGCGTTAATAGTTGTACTAACAATGTAGCGATGTTGGATGAATGTGGAAGGCTGCCATTATGCTATGGTTATTTTAAGCGTTGTATCTCATATTGGTTAAAATTAGTTGAAGTAAAAAATAGCT